TCACTGAAGAAGGGAGGCTGGAGGGGAAGGTGAAGCAGATGAGGAGGAAGAACTAGGCTCAGAAGAAATGGGAGAGGAGAGGGGAAGAAAGTAGTAGGCAGCAGATGTCGTAGGGGTTGAAGAAGTAGTATGAGAAGAAATGGATGTAGTTGTGTTTGGCTCAGCAACAATAAGCTGGCAGTTTTGTCTTCCTGACTGTGAACTAATAAGATCTGGAAAATAGAGCTGGGAATTAGGAGAAGAGCTACCATCTGAAGAACTATCTGATGAACTTGATGGAGACCTGGCTGACACCATGGCAAGCATATGCGGTGTGTACAGTCTCCTTCTTAATCTCTTGGATCTTATAGTTTCTACTGGGTCATCCTCATGGGTACGTTTGGAGTTGCATACACACCATGCACCTGCCTTGAAGCTAGTCCTTTCATACCCCGCACCAACAGAACGCATAAAAGGCCAGTAATTGTTCTTTATAAAGGTGCGGAGGCCAGGGGGCAATGGCAGATCCTCTACTCTCACCTTCATCTTTTCACATAACTGTTTGCACACAACTTCAGAAGCAAGACACTGCAGACTGACTGGAAATGTACAACTTGAGACCAACTTCATCCCTGAGTGTGCTGAGGTGGATGTCACAATGGGATACACTTCCTTGTTCTGGAGTCCCACAAAAGCCACACCTGAGACAAAATTACAAATGGATGAAGTGGTATGAATATATTTGTGGTTCATCAACCTGCTATATTTATGTGAAACTAGAGCATATGTGCATTTCTGGAGTGCTTATTTAAACCCCTAATATCTGGCTGCATCACTGTCCACATGTGGCCCAAAATCTGTAAATTAGGCTTACTTGAGTGGCCACTCTCATGGGTGCGTGGCTTGTAGGCCAGGAACACATGATACCTCACTTCTTGCTTCCCCTAAGCAATATTATCATCTCTTTTTTTTCTGAATAAGCATCTTTTGCTTTTTTTGTCATTTTCCTGTGCTAATACTTGTCATTTGATATTCTGTACCCAGATGGTAATTGACTATTTTCCTTGCACAAAATCCAAATCATATCTCTAGGTAGTCCATAACTCAGTGCACTAATAATAACAATAAGTTATATTATTTGTGTTATTAAACTACTTTTTGCAATATTCAAATTCCCTGAGCAAGCACTATTCTAGTCATGGCTCACAGATGGTACATTATACACTATAACTGATAGAAATAATACAAGAACCCTTCCCTAAATGAGTTTAATCACCATCCAAGAGCTCGTGATGAATCATACCCATCACCTTGGCCCTCAACCAAAATTTTCCATGCTGGCATGTTCATGTCACTCGGACCTGAAGCCAAAATCTTTCATGACATGAAAGATTGATGTATATCATCTTATTTCAGATTATGGAGAGCAAATCATAAAAATGAGTAAGAAATGCTACTACTGAAACTTAATGTTCTGCAAATTTAAATGCTTACAATAACAAATGTACCATATTTTAATCACTAATAAAATAAAACTTGATAGCATTCACAATCTGAATTTTCTTTTAGCTTATTCATGAGAGTAAAGGCAGGTTCACATATCACCACAACAATTTGAGGTATGTAAGATTAATTGAAGCCTTACTATATATTCTCATCCAGGACTCCTGGTTTCGACCTGCTTTACATCTCTCAGGGATGGAAAAAAATCATAGGATATACAAAAAATGCAAATTCTCTAGCTTACCACAAGACAAATTTTGATATTCAGTATATTAAGAGGTTCATCTTACAAGCCAGAAGATGACAGACAGAGAGAGAAATACTCTATTGTTTTATATCAAATACATACAGTAGCAGAGTAAGTAAGCAGGCAAATAGGCAATCAAGCACTCAAGCAAAAAAGAAAAAAAGTAAATAATAATAATAATAATAATAATTAAAAAAAAAAAAAAAACTAGAAGAAAGCTTCCCAGTTTTGACAGCCCATTCATTATTATGGTAAATAGGATGTGGCAAAACACAATACTGGCTAATAAGACTGTAATGACGAAGAGAGGAAGACGGTTTGGCACGGGAGTAAAGGAAAAGTCTGTGTAATATGGATGACTTTGCTGCCTTCATATCATCTTTGTTTATTCTTACGAATCCCATAAGAAAATATTTTTGGAAAAAAGATCATTAAGAGATAGTGTCTTAAAAAACTGTGTATACTTTAACCCACTTACGATGGGTGTCACACATATGAGACACCCAGAAAAGTAAACATTACTGGGAGTCCTGCCAGTATGATGCTAGATTGGAACTTGTGCTCTGATTTTGTTGCCTGTGGTGGGTGGTGCTCAGGCAGGTTCCCAGACTCGCCTGCGTGGCGATTTTGAAGCCACCCGGAAAATATTTTTTTCGGCTTGAAAATGTACCGTCACTAGTGGGTTAAGCCACAAAAATAGGTTCATTTAGATGTGCACTTATACAAAGAGTCACAGTATATAAAGGCACATGTGAACTTTTACCTGACTTCTGGTCATGTATATTATTTTGTCTTATAAACATTAAAACAATGCTAACGGTGGGTGCTGTACACAGTCACAGTAATTGAGGGAAAAGTATAAATATGAGAAACAGAGAATTACCCAATTTTTTATGATCTTGGCTACAGTATATATGATTTTCAATTGAAAGGGGCTAAAAAGTGACTTTAAGGGGTTGTAATTCCTTAACTATTTGCAATAATGGAGAAACATGCAAACAACAATATAATGCATATAACTTAGGAGCAAGAAAGGAGTCCAGTCATGCCATGGCATGTATGTACATGCCAACTGTTAGCATAGGGTTCATGTATCAAATTCTTGATATAATTAAGTTATATATATTCTTTTAAATTTCATCAGTTAAAACAGTAACTCAAAAAGAGAAACACGTAAGTTTAATCCTTATGCTCTGGATGATGTGACCATCACACTATGAAAAAATAAGGTTTGGGGGCTGGGTGACATGAACATGCTGTCAAGAGAAATTCTGGTTGTGGGCTGAGGTGATGCGAACTTGCCATCAAGAGGATATTGGCTGAAGGCCAGAGTGATGAGAAAGACTCACCATGAGTGCACAAACCTTTTGAAGTGATTAAATTCATTTGGTATTTAGAAAGGGGCTTTTACAATATTTCTGTCAATAAACAAGTGTGGAATGTACTGTCTGTAAGCCATAACTGGAAGAATGCTAACACAAGGAAGGATGCCATTTCCATGCTCAGCATCCTATTCCTGGTGACTGGCGACACAGGTTGTACTACAGAAAATTGAATATAAAGGGAGGGGGGTCCTTAATGTTCTAATTTTTACACTGAGTTATGGACTAACTAAAAGAGATGATATGGAGTCTCTACAAAGAAAATGGTCCATTACCATCTAAATAACAAAGATCAAATGAGAAATATTGGCAATGGAAAATAACAAAAAAGCAAAGCTAAAAATGCTTAGGCATAAAAAGAGAAAATAATATTGCAATGGGGAGGCACATATAGTCTTCTTAATGCACATGAGTGTTTGCGTGCACCTGGCCTACAAGCTGTGCACCTGTCAGATTGGCCACTCTGTAAGCCTAATGGCAAGTGATTGCCGTGAAGCATCTGGATCCACGATCATGTTATGAAAGTTTTTCTTTTTTTCTCAGACTAAGAAAACATTTCAGTGACCCATATTTTTTGTTAAGCTGGCTTGTGCTTCTACATATATCACCAAGTTCCAATAAAATCCACTTTTAACAAGAAAGGAAGGATGCGACAATGGCAATAATTCGGAATTTCATTTAACTAATGGATATTTCAGTCTGGATAATCAAATCAAAACTTGTCAAGAGATAATAGCTAGTGATATCCAGTACAAATTATTTATAAATTAAAAAATAATGATCATGAATTATAACATGACTGCTTTGTAAAACATGTTGGAGAGAATATCTCCTTAAGATATTCAAAATGCACAGAGGCAGAGCAAGTTTCCCCCATCATGATACTAATTTATAAAAACTGGCATATGCATTTGATTTGAATGTGCCTGAGGCATGTGCATTATAACATGTCTAAAAGCAAAATAATCAATATCTGACATAATTCACTACGGAGATTTCTACCTTCTCTGTAACCTAGATATTGCTACATGTAACATCAATGACGAACTCTTAACCCCTACGATCCAGATGCGACACTTGGGGTAAAAAAAATAACTATTTTCAAACAAGTGGTCATAATGCTCCTCAACTATTTAGAAATAATTTCCAAACATTGTTCAAGCTTTTAGATAGCATGACATGGCAATATGACATTTAAAGGGACAGAGGCTTCAAAACCCAGGCACAGGGGCATAGCAGGTCAGACCTAATACATGTGTAGAATATAAGCAATTTTCCACTGAAATATCTCAACAAATGCAGTTGTGCTTGGAGTAAATCTATACCACAAAACAACTGTTATTGAGGAAAAACTGGTAGCAGCATTCTGTCAGAGCGATTAATGGCACTTGTGTCAGTGTATCTCAAGGTATTTAGTGCTACTTTTATCGCTCTGTTGGATGTTATTTTACCATCATCACCATGGGTAATCAAAAAAGGAAATTTAAATCAAAGGCAACACATACATATGAAAGCAATATATGCCAGAAGAGATGCAACAAGTGCGGAATGCCCAGAAGCAGTGACACACCCATGCTCTGGCCACCACCTCCTCCTCTTCCTCTCCTCATTCTCTATCCTTCCTTGGAATATATTGATGATTGTTCCAGTACATCATCTCTGTATATTCATCAGTAATATGCACAAAAATCTTTAAAATTGGGAAAGAAATAAGATGGATAAATTGAGGTCACATCTTTGAAAACCTGTGTCTCTGTTCAATCAATAAAAAGTAAAAAATCAAAGATTTAGTTGGGACTAACAGGATAGATTTTTCACAATAGGATGCAAGTGATAGCATACAAATGTCTTTAAATATTTGATGGAGTTGGGAGTAAATGGCTAAAAAGTACCTGCAAACTGAGATCTTATATTACACAGGAACAACGACATGGTGACATTCCATGATCTAAGGGAATTATTACAAAATGCTTTGTATGTGCATCTAAAGACATCAAATGACTATTCACAGCCAAAAAAGAATAGTAAAACAACAAGTATGAAGGCAGTTATCTATTTTATATAGTCTGTCACTATGTATTTAGCTGTGTGCACACACTATAGGCAACACAAATGCCTATTGATTTAGAAAGTTACATCAGTATCAAATAATTTTTTCAAAGATTTTTCTGTGCATATATTGACACATGATGACTCCTGCCTTAACAAGAAAGATTACATTTGATTTATGAAAACTTAAAATGGTGTGCAAAACACAGGTTTTATTGGTTTTCTTGCATTAGAAATAAAAGAGTGCAAATGTACCATGTGGGCTTTGCACTATGGTGGCTGGATGCTTTTGCAAAAGGGCTTCATATTTTCATATATGCAAGTATTAAAACCAAAAACCAGGACAGGTGTGTTGGCTGCCTGCATGTGATGTGTGTTACAATTTTTACAAATGCCCCAGAGTTTAGGTCTTTCTGTGCTATATCATTCTCAAGCTTTAGTATGTCTTGCATTATATAATACTAATGTATATGTTTTGAAGAATTATTTACAAATTTAAGGTTGCTTAAGCTTATTTACTGCAAAAATGAATAAATAAATAATAACAGGGTTGTCATAGCAAAAATGGGTTGTGAGCTGTGTAACACGAACTTACTGCCTTGAGTGAAGGCTTCGGTGACAGAAAAGACTCACCACAAGTGCACAAACCTCTTGGAGGGTGATTAGACTCCTTTAGTGTTTAGAAAGGGGCTTTTGCATTATTTCCATCGATAAATGAGTGTGGAATGTAATGTCCGTGAGAAATGACCAGAAGAGCACCGGCTCCAAGGAGGATGCCTTTTCCAGTATCCTTTTACTGGCTGCTGGGACAGGCGGTGCAGATTGCATTACAGAAAATTTAATATTACGAAGAAGAAGAAAAGAAGAAAAGAAGAAAAGAAAAAAAGAAAGAATGAAAGAAAGACAAATAACAAATTTACTGCATAGAGAGATGATATGGAGTCTGTGCAAGGAAACAGTCTATTACCATCTGAATAAAGCAAATCAAAAGACAAATATGGATACTGGAAAACAGTAAAAAGACTAAAAACGCACATGCAAAATAACACTACAAAGGGGAGACAGAGAATCTTCTGTCACCACACACGTGTCTGCGTGTACCCTGCGTACATGTTGCACACCTGGCAGAGTGGCTGCTTACATAAGGCTAATGCCTGTATTTTGGTCCATGTGATTGCCATGAAACAACTGGATTCAAGGGGTTAAGCAGAAATCTATCATTCTGAACATCACTTTGTCCAAAGTTTAAACAAATCTCACTCTCTCATGTTTCTATATCTAGTTTATTATCAATATGGAATGAGACTGATTACTTTAACACTTCAGGCTCTTTGGATGTTTCTTGTACTATTTAGTATTGACATATAAAGCACTAATGCCCTTTCCCTGGAGAGAAAAAAGAAAAGTTAAATGAGTTTTAGTAAAGTTTTAAAGCTTGGACTTACCTAGAGGTTTTCTATTTAGGTAAAATTCTAGGGTTCCACGCCAAGAATCCAGGTGAAGCCCCACGATGCTACCTTTGCCCCAACGTGGACCATAGGGTTTGAACTTTCCTCCATGCTGGACACCTCCTGTACATACACATATTATAAATGAGGATGTTATATATGAATTTTCAGATGAGGAGTTTAGCAATCTCTGTTGAATGACTTTATAGACGTAAAATAATAATAATAATAAAAAATAAAAAACTTATTCACCTCCAAGGCCTGGTAACTGTAATGGTAAATAACACATTTTCATTAATAGGACTAAGGCTAGTAAAGTAAATAAATTTCATGTTCTACCTGTGTATGAGTAGCCCCATGACTCATGATCTCGGCCTAGGAGGGAACAGAATCGGTGAACTGCATGTTTGAGGTCAAATTTAGCAGTGCACACACCAACCATCTGTAATATATGAAACAGATATAAACTTTACAATGCCTACTGCAAGTGAAGAAGGTTCATATGAAGAAGTAATAGTCAGATAAAGCAGCAGATAAAGCCTGATATTATTTTTGACTCCCAAGTATCAAATTCTTCTTTTAAAACCTATAGAATACATATCAATATACAATTCAGATTTTGCACTCTGATGATCCTAAGTACAAAAGATATACTTCTAATTTAGTACAGCGCATGAAATTATTTGTTTACTCTCTATTTTCTTAAGTGGTTCTAAAGATTCCAGAATAGTTTTATCCTTACAAAAGCTTCTTTAGTATTCTGCATAAAACTGCTGGGTAATCATTTGCATAAGATATAAGGAGAGCTTTCAGTGTAGCATATTTGATACTGTCCAACATACCACCACACTTACAATATCTGTTCCATAAACAGCAGAGGTCATTTTCAACT